ACACACAGAAACACACACACACACACACACACACACATATTTCATGTATAATTATAGATTAAACAAAAGCATATCAATTAGTACAAGTAATACAGTACTGAAATGTATAATACAACACTCACAAGATTTTTATTTGAATACTTTAAGTTAATTGTATTACTTCTGTACTTATCTAAGTACGTAAGTAAAAAATCGAAATACTTCTTCCAATACTGACAGTAGGTACGTTTTTCAGACCTTTTTAGGGTTTTATCAATTTATATTTTATCGTGAGTTCAAACGTTCATTAACATTCTTAAAACACAGAGACTGTGTCTCTCTCCACAATGTGGTGTTACATACCAATGCTCAACCCACGCAATGTTTTCATGGCAATACAAAACCACAGCTGGCTCTGTGCACCACTAGAGAGGATATTAGCTCAGATAATTTGCATGTTTGGTAGTGGATTATTATGTAATGATCCAAATGTTATCGTAATTGAAACAGACATCCCTTGATTTCTTTGTGCTTTTTCTCTCTCAGCTGGGTTTGTGTTGGGTTGGATTAGTTGGCATGTCAACTGCTTCCCCTACACAACGCTTGTGTAACTTCAGTTACACAGTTAATGGGGCAGGGAGGGGTACTGACAGAGAGGAAAAAAAATGTTGCATAAGATTTATGGCTTAGCATATACTGATATTGAACAAAGAATAAATCCCAGATGAGCCATTCACGTGTCAGGGAATAAATACAGCCAGAATAAATTTACCAGGTGGTGAACGTGCGCCACAGAAGAAAGACATGGATTCATGTAGGGTAAACCGTTTAGGTTTGGCCAAATCTCAGTAGAAATTTCAACAAAAACAGATATCTAACCTTATACAACAAAATACATAAAATAGCGGAATATTCTGTATGTTGTATCAAGGTTTAAGCAGCCCACTGGGATTTAATCCTGCTTTATATTATAATACAGAATATCCGGAAAATGGTATACCGAGCTTTCTGCACAATATAATGTGTTCCTGATTCTTATGATGGTCTCATTGGCCCTGCTGAAATTGCATTGTGTCTCTAAGATTACATCGAGTCATCTCTGCTTACAGTCAATACCTCATCTGGACATGAAGCATTACATACCCCCGGACTGCCAGCCATTGCTTATGCCACAAATAGCATCAGCCAGCTACAGGATGGCAGCATTGTGTTACAATGCCCCCCTCGGCCCCTTTTCATTTTCTGCAAGTCATTCAACGTATAGGCAGTTTATCCTTCAGGGAGGCTTTGTTCCTGCTCACAATATTTTGAGGCAGTATTTTGAGTAATGCTGACAACAAAATGAAAACGAAAAAAAGGCTTCTGTGAATTTACTAGAATAAATCATGTGTAGTGTTACTCTCTCCATTGTTTTAGAGATCTTACCACATCCACAGCAGAGTCAATTTTGGAGAAACTCACCTTTATTGTCTCTGAAACATCTGAGAGACCAAGCTCAATAACTGACACAAATTAAAAATACAAATCTTCCACCTCCTGGGCCAGACATGACTACTAATTCACTTGTCCTCTTTGGACTCTTGTCCCATGACTGACTACTTTAATTAAACCATGATTGGGGCTGGGAAGATGGTAGTGTTGTAATAGGATTGCAAGCTTTGGTCCCTCTCCAGCTGAGACTATCAGGGTATCATGGACCTCAGGGATGAGGCTGTGGCATTGGACAGGGACCAGCTAAGGCCAAGGTTGACTTAATCAGCAAACTGACTAAACAAATGAGAGCATTATGAAGCTCAGTCAAGAAGATGATTATGATAAAATGATGGGGTATAGGTTTGTAAACATTAAAATGAGCAACCCAATTAATGGAAGGTACAAAAACGCTCCATCCCATTGTAGTTCTTCCTTACCAGTGAGCAATTTTCCCCATCTATGAACTCCACAAGAATCCACTTGTTGTTTTGAAGCCCGGCTGCAAACCAATAGGTCAATTAGTGTTCCCCTTACAGTATATACCATTATGCAATATTACATAAAAAACTGTATGCTAGAATGAAACATTTGCAGAACATCTCATGTCCGTAACTTGATGACAACAGGATGGTGGGGTGGGACTTAATGCATCAATAAAATAAATAAACCAGTTACATGTCAGCAGGGTTAATGTGACAGTTTGCATTACCATATCATAATTAGATCCACACAGCTGAGCTTGTGTTTAACCTCTACAGCCACAAGGCTATAGCTGTGCTTAACCTTTAAGCTCATATTTATGAATTAATGGTCATTTACTGCTTATCAACATTACATAAG